GTCCAATGACCATGTATCCTTCCAATACAAAAGGCGAAGGGCGGAAATGCTTTTAATGTTAGCAGAGTTGGGTGACATTAGAGATAACTAAAGGGTTTTCCAAAGGCTATCGATAATTAAAAGTGAGCAACCACTAGTTCTATGGGAACTAGATTATAAACAATCTAGTAGAAATAATCAGACTTTTAACAAAGCAGGATCCACCTTACCTGGAAGAGAAGCCAGTAAATGGTGATTACCTGATTCTTATAACACACCTTTCTGGATCCTAGTTCCTGAATCTGAGAGTAGAGAGAAATATTGTGTTCTAGAGCAGAGGTGGGCAAACTGTGACCCGCAGGTTGAATCTAGCCTGCTGCTGGTTTTTATATAGTCCATAAGCTAAGACTACTTTACATTTTTAAATGAAGAAAATTTAAAAGATGAAAAATATTTTATGACACAAAAATACGATCTACTTCAACATTACTAAGCACTCATCACAGTATTTCCAATTCATGGCAAAGTGACAGTTGATTAGAAAAATTTTTTTTCTAACTATCAAAGCAGAATTTCTTGACAAAAATGAAGAACAAAAATGAGGCTGATGGCACAGGAAGTTTTGAGTGGCTTATTTGTTAGCCAAATAAGGAAAACTACCAAGAGTTGGTTAATTCCATTGTGATTGATTGCACCAACAGAAAGAATATTTCCAGAGAAAATAAACTTGTTTAGGATTATTATTAGTTGACATTGGAACAACATCAATAGTGAATCAAAAATCAGGGCAAATGATTTCAATGGTTTTCCTTGGCTCTTGATGAATCCAAAAGATGATTATTGACACGAAGTTTTTTATTCCAAAAGTCAGTGCTGACTTTGAAGTGAAAAAAGAATTAGCCTCTATGAATAGTCTTCATGTTACAACTAAAGGGGAAATATTTCAAAGAAATTGAGAAAAATTAAACATGAAGAATCTGCTTAGATGTATTATAACTTACAGTGATAAAAATTTAAAAAAGCTTAGTTCACAAGTTTACTAGTCTTATGAAAATGTAAGATGTTTAAAGTTTATTCATGGTATTATGAATTAGCAGGTGCTTTGCAGAAAATATTTGAGTCTACCATGTGTTGCTGAAACAGTAGTGTCAATGGTGAACTTCGTTTGCTCTTGTGAACAACCTTCATCAATTCTCTGAATTTTTGTCAGAAACAAGCTGAATCTTCTCTTTTGCCTTGCCACACATCAGTTTGATGGCTCAGCAGTGGCGAAGTTTTATTGTGATTTTTTAAAATCTGAGAGCCAAAATTGAATTTTTCTTAATGGGAAGAACCAGCCTCAACTGTAATGGAACTCTGAATGGCTTTGAAAATTAGCCTTTGAGGCAGACTTCATAATGTTTCTTAATGAATTCAACCTAAAATTGCGAGGCAAAACATCAATTTTATGTAAATTTTAAACTGTAGTAAAGTCATTTTGATGACAACTCATGTTGCTTGAATCTTAAGTAATGTCAAACACTTGCCATGCTTTCAAATGTTAAAACAAGAATCCAGATGTCCACTCCCACACAAATTTGCAGTGGATATATTTTCTAAGCTCAAACTAGTTTCAGCACATTTTTTGGACCTCCATGCAAGTATAAAGGAGATTTCCGAATTTTAAAACCCACTTGATTGTGCAATTGAAGAGCTTTCCCCTTACCTTCAATTGGAGGTGATTAATGTAATGACATATTTTAAAAGGCAGATAATCAAGAAAAGAATCTAATAGGATCCTGTAAATGCTTTTCAAATGATGAATATGCTCAGCTAAAATAATACGTTTGTGGACTGGTATCAGTATTTGTCAGTAGCTGTCTGTGTGAAAAGACTTTTTGAAAGATGAATTATGTAAGATCCCATATGAGTGAGCATTAACAGTTGAACATTTGTCATTGGTTTCAACGAAGAGCACTAACTTGGAATCCCAGTTAAATGAAATGTTATCTTCCCCCAAATTCAGTTTTTCTCATTAGACTTATATTACAAAAAAAAAAAAAATGTGCTCATTATGATGTTTTGAATTTTTATCAAAACAATTGTGGAAATTTATTTTCTCTCAGTATATGAATGCCTATGTAATAACTTTGATTCTGCTTCTTGGACCACAAAAACTAAAACATTTACTATTTGGTCCTTTACAGGAAGATTTGGTTGACACCTGCTCCAGAGGAATATTCTTAGAATATGTGATTGAGGAATAATCCTCTAAATACAGGGCAGGAATATATATTGAATACCTGTAGCCCTGTAGGAACTCAATTGCAGCCAAAGACTTGAAGTTGTCTACATATTTAAAATTCTTATTGATTGATCCTTTGTTCCAGAGACTTCTGAACATGGAGAGGAACAACAATAACAAATAATTTGTAAACCTGTAAAATTTTAAAACCTAATTTTCCCAAGTACTTAAATGATTGCAAACTGGCTAAATTCCTTGAAGTAATTTAAACTGCATTTTCATGGTAGTATATCTGATTCTTTTGGCTATTTTAAATAGCAGATAAAGTATACATAAATACAATGATTTAAAAATATTTTTAGAGTTAAGGATAAACCTAAAGCATCAACACCATAACTAATTCATTATTTCTGTATTAGATCCTATATTTTCCATGGGCTATTGTTATACTTCTTTTGATAACTTTCTAGGGCTTTAATATTTTGATTATTACCCAGGGTTTTGTATGATGTTGCAGTAATTGAGTATCAACAGTTATTGGCTGAAATATTGAACTCGTTTATAGGAGCATTGGATGGAGTAGCTTTTTTTTTTTTTTTACAATTAAATCATGAATTTTACCTTTTATATCATGAGACTTTAAGCACTTATCTTTCATACAGATTTTAGCTTTTGAAACTTGACATTTATCCCAGAAATAATTTAATCTTTAAGTTTTCCATGGCCAGCAGTGCCTGAGTCATTGTCCTGTTATTAAATTTTATTCACCTGGTGTTTTGGCATTTTTAAAATGTATGTATTCCTTAAAGACTTTTATTATAATTGGTAGGATCATCTAGAAGTTTTTTCTTCTAAGAGATGAGGACTGGCTCTATAATTATCCTTTCTCTTTAGAAACTTAGCTGATCCATCGTTTTCAAAAACATAGTTGAATGCTTCTCTTAATTGGTAATTGTGTGTGCAATCACAGGCACTGATTAATCGTTGAGCTCCTCTTTCTTCCAGTTATTAGATAGGAACTTTCATGCTCCTCAGTCCTTCCTGGTGTGCTTCCAGTAACTGTTTTCCCCAGATTACTCAGCTCACTCTCTGCTCCCTTCCCTATGTTTACTGTGGTGGTATCCACATAGTAATAAATATATATATAATGGTAATTAAAGAATAAATGGCAATATAAAGTATTGATAAGAATAGTCGTAATATAAAGAGATAAGTATATATATAATATATAGAATTAAACAGAATATACATAATTTAAACACATATAACTTTAATAGAAGAAATAAGGTCTCTATACATTATTACTCTTCTATTATTAAAATGTAGAATATATTCTATTGTACTTATCTTTTTATATTACAACTACCTTTATCAATACTTTATATTACCTTTTATCCTTTAAGTACCATTATCAACTTAGATCCTTTTACAGGTTTAATATATTCCAATTAACCACAACAAAACTATTACTTGAAGCCCAAATTATAGCAGTCGGGCTGTGGGGCCTTTGAAAGCCTCCTTGGTGTTGTCATTCTTAAAAGCATCGGGAAACAACAGGATGTTCCAAACTCTCCTTATTGTTTCCTGTCATAATCTCCTTCTAAGGAATCAGGAGTTCTTGTTCCTCATAGCAGAGGACTATGTTAGAGACCAAAGTCTAGACACTAGAGAAGCACACAAGAGTGGATGGAGGGCAAACACACAGCTGCTGCAGGTGTTATTTTTGGCAGTGACAGAGCTGGAAATGTCTGCACAAATTCACTTTGTTATTTCTTAGTTAACTCATCATATTGCTATGTCATACTTGTTTATTTAAAAAACAGTTTCTGCATATGATTTTATCGATCACTTAGATTTTCTCCTATTTAACAGTGTTCTAGAAAGGGTAAGATAAAGGAAGAGTGATGAAGCCTGGATGCATTGATCACTAATTGGTAATAGTTTGAGGGAGGAGATGTGATTGTACTGAATGTAAAAATTATGTAAAAGTCAATCATTTATTTGTTTAAATCTACTAAGTGCCAGGCCTTCTGCTAAGCTTTAATGGTGATGTTTCTGTCCTATGTTGTCTATAATCTGGCAGTGAAGGCATTTGCGTAACAAATAATTTTACAATTAACTGAAATGAAGACTTCAACTGAAACATGCAGGGTGTCCTGAGAATGTATTTTAGGAGCACTTGGCTTGTCTTGGGGTACTAGAACATTTAGGTATACGGGAGCAAGGAAATGGCACTTGGCAGGTGGTTAGTAAAGAACACTGAATCATGTTCAGAAGGAAGTTGCTATACTTGGAGACATTTAAGGTCCCACACAAATAGGAAATGAAATTGTAGTTATTGATGGTTTGTTATTTTAAAAGAAATAATTTATTATTTTTCTTCTGAAGCGTTGTGAATGCAAAAGAGGTGAGAATATGCATGCCACCATGGTGACCAGCTGTCATAATGTCTTATTTATCAGCAAATATGCACTGACGTTGCTTAAAATAAGTCCCCCCAAATGTGTATGATTGCCTCAGAGATGCAGCATCCATTACCCATGGCCTCACATTACATTCTTGGGTCATTAGTCCACAAGGCATTGGGATGGTACAGGGGTTTTTTAGGGGATGTTATTCTTTTCCTCAGGCCAGCTGCTGTGAAAATGGAAAATTTTAGTTTATTTCTTTTTTTCAATTTTAATTTTTTTCAATTATATTTGACATTCAATATTATATTAGTTTCATCAGTTCATCTCTTGAGGGTAGGATCATGGTGTATGTTTTCCAGTATTTTTCTTAGTCCCTCAGCACATTGCTTATAATAGAACAAGCACTTTATGTGGAGAAGTTGGTTGGTTGGTTTGCTATACGGTTTTAGGCTAAGGGTGTCCATGGACTAATCCTTGTACGTGGTGATTTACTTGGTTGCTTCATTTTTAACGCTGTCATTTTTGCTTTTGTCCGTTAAAAATTTTAGTCTGTGGTAAGCAAGTTTAGGAGACGGTGTCAAAGGAAGAGACCATTTCAGGTGTGTGGAGCCACACGAAGCATAAAGTATGGCACATCTGAACCTTCTGGGATGGATTGTTGGAAAGGGCTTAAGAATTTACCATTTACCTGAAGAATAAGACAAATAATTTATATTCTTTGCCTACAAGCACATAGCTTGTCACCAATAAAACTGAAGCTAGCATAAAACTCTATTTTCTAGGAATATTTACCAAATTCCTTTCCTGATTACCTTATTAAAATTGCTTCTTCCTCCTGCTTTTCTTTCGCTATAGCACTTATCACTTTGTAATTTAATATGCAAGTTACCACTTTTTATTTATTTGTTTGCTTCTTCTGACTCTTCTATTAGAATGTAAGCTGCACTTAGGCTGACAATTTTTGTCTATTGCAGTCACTGATATATCCCAAGCACCTAGAATAATGCTTGGTACATAGTGGACATTCAATCAATGTTTGTTGAATGAATGCGTGTGAGCAGTAGCAAAATCAACAAGTGATCAAGGTAATTGTTTGTATCACTCAGCAGGCTTCCTGGAATTCTTCTTCTCATCTAACATGCTGTAAGATTGGCACTGTAAATTACACATGAAGCACTTATTTGGGGGAATAAATAGCTGGCATGTTGACTAACTTGAATTACGTCAATGGACTTTTGAAAAAATGGACATGTTGGGAAACTAGCAGTTGAATGTTATTTCTCAACATATTTATATCTCCAAATCAAGTGAGTAGAGCTAGACAGTCTTAAAGGTCATTTCATCTAGGTTTTATTTTATTCACGGGAGGAAACTGACTTAGCAAGGTTAAGGAACTAGTCCAAGATCAGATTGCTAGGCAGAGCCAAATGAATAGAATATTTTCATTTTCTTGCTGAATGAATAGAATATTTTCATTTTCTTAGCTTCACAAGTTCAGAGCTCCTTCCCAGTGTGTTCTGACACTTATCTTAGGAGCCCATACCCACATAATACCTATAGTGTTAGAGTTCTTCCTGAGAACATTCTAGAATGGGTAATGTTGGGGTATGGGAGTGGTGGGAATGTTTATTGAACCTTTTCCCACAAAGATGTAGAATTTAAAAGTTTGGCATTGATTTTGAGGTAAAAAATATTTTAAATAAGTGTTTTATCTGTGAGGCCAATAAGGTAGTTTCCTCTTCTTGTTATCTGGGTACCATAAAACAATGTTTTTCCTGTTTAATTTTCCCTGTGCATTTGTTAACTGGCATGCATCATTACATTGTAAAGACTTTGAGGCAAGGGTTTATGTCTTCTACAATTTTGGTAATTTTTCCCAGAGTCTGTTATATAGTACATTTTCATATATCTCTGTCATCCAGAGGTCATCTGTAAGTTGAGCAATAGATAAGAAATATTTACATAATGAGAGCATTATTCAGTCTTGTTACTGGTAGACGTGTCAAAGGAAGTAATCAAGAAGAATTGCTAAACATTGTCTCATCAACCTTATCCACCTAAATAATCATGGGAGGCAGATAACTTAGAGATTGGAGAGGCAGGTGGGTTTCCTCTACACAGTGAATCGGGGTTACTGGAATGTAGAAGCACTGCCTTTTCTCCCCTACCAGAACAGCATAAAAGGAAGACCTGCTTGGCTCAGTCATTCTAAGGAAAATGATATTATCTTTTGATTGGATGTGTTCCAGTAAAACAAACTCCAATTTATCCCTTCGAGAGAGATTAAAATCAGCAGCTCTTAGCACTTGCCAAGTTTATTATTAGTATATTCCTAGCCCTTGTGATGAGATAAACATTTCAAAGAATAAACCTGGCAGCATACCTTAGTGGAAATAAGGGCTAGAGAGGATATAGATATGTTTATTTTAGTTTGTGGTTTTTTAAAAAAATAGCTTGAATGTAAAATGGTGCAATACAACAGAACTTTACTGCTTGTTTATGCAAGAGTATGATGTGGATGTTCTTGTTTGGCAGGTGGGTTTCCTCTACACCGTGAATTGGGGACCTAGGCTCCTTCCCTCTGGTGGCTCTCCCCCCTGCCCCGCCCCCCACCCAGGGCATCACTGCACTGCATCCAGCTGGTGAGAGAGAGAGGGGGCATGGTAGGGGCTTACCCTCTTTTAAAAAAATCTTAGCTTGGAAATGGCACACAGCATTTCTGCTTATATTTCATAGACTCAGCCACATGGCCACATGGATGTGGGGAAACATAAACTAGTCGTGTGCACAGGAAAAACAGATAAGGGCCATTTTCCTTCTCACCTTCTCTCTTCTCTTCTTCCTTTTCCCCTCCCTCACTCCTTACCCCTTCCCTTCCCTTCCCTTCCCTTCCTTCCCTCTCTCATCCTTCCATCTGTCTGTCCGTCCGTCTATCTATCCTTTCTCTCTCTCTCTCTCTCAACATTACAGTGCTGAACTCCTACATCCTGTTCAAAAAGGACAACCCTGAGCACACGATCAGCCATCTAAACTTCATACTGATGTTGACTGAAAGAATGCTGGAAAAGCATCACATGCCAGGGCAGCAATGTCTTCGAGGTCGTCTGTGCTCTGATGATGTCACACCTCTTTGTCTGGAAGACATTTCCCTACCATGGAAAGAGAATCCAACTGGTTGCTGCAAAGTTTACTGCTCACAGGATAGGGACAGCATGGAGATCTGGAGAGAAACGCAGTATTTTTGTGCGGAATGTGATGTTCCACTTTGTGTTGTTCGTGCTTGGAAATTTACCACACACACACACACACACACACACACGAATTATCAGATACTGATCATCATACACATTTCTGTTACATTAGGATTAGAGACAATTTCTGTTGTTTAGAAATAACTCCAAGAACAGTTTTTCTATTTTATTTTCACATTGAAAACCAATCAGATTTGCTTCAGCCTCGAAGAGTGTGTTTATATAAAATTAAATTAATGGTGGCAGCGGGCTGCACTTTTTTTTTTCTAAAAGGGAAATGGGTTAAAAAATAGGTTTTTGGTGGATATCCTATGCTTACATAGATATTAAGGATTCCTGCCCTGCTCCCACTGCCACCTGTTTTAGAGATTAAAGCGACCATAGTTTGAATGATGCTAAATGGTGAGAGGGTAAATTAGAAGATGATAAAGGGGTGAAAAGATAAGGGATATACTGTCTCAGCTTTGTAGTACCTGGGTACAGTCCAGATAGGAAGCTCCTTGAAATAGTAGTAAGAAAACCTAGGTTTTAGTTATAATTCTATTAGCTTAATATATGCAGGTCTTTTTATTCTAATATTCTAATCTGTAAAATAAGGACAATTGTATAAATCATTCAAGGTAATAGGTGAGGATATAGTACTTTGAATTACTAGGAGGGTTCATAGGTGGTTTAAGTATTCAGGGTGTCCTTACACCGTATTAAAATCTAGGTATTATTAAGGCAACAAGTCTGCTTGTGCTTATTAAAAAGGAACAAGGCTAACATTTGTTGGGCATTTACTATGTGCAGGCAGGTGCTAAGTGCCTTACATATATTAACTAATTCTCTCGCACCTTTATGGGGGTGATATTATTAGCCCCATTATGTAGATGAAGAACTTGAGGTACAGGAGGGTTAAATAACTTGCTAGTAAGTGGCAGAGTTGGGATTCGAACCACGGTGATCTGGCTTCAGAGTCTGCACTCTTAACCATTCCACTTTAAACCTGTGCCCTGGTCACAGCGACCGGCAGTACTGACATTTATCTAGTTCACTCTGGTGTGGCCACACCAACTACTCCTGTTCTGACTTCTCAGTGCTGGTGCTTTATGAGTGGTTAAATATTTTGGGTGTAAACCTGGCCACTGATGGATAAAGACGCTCGTACTTTCTAGTTATGTTTGAATTGAGCAAGTAGTATATTTGACAGCCTAAGTAAAACTCAGAAAATATTTTCAGGTATTTATATTTAAGATCAGAAGCACGATAGCTTAAACATTTTAAAGTGAAAAGTATTGAGCATGTATTTGTTAATCGTTCTTACCAATTTCAAGGCATTAACCCATGTCTGTAAGTTAGATGTAAGTAAGATGATTCTTGTTTAGAAGTGATTAGATGTGTGACTAGGTGTGTTACAAAGAAATCTAAATGGGTCACTAATGTTATACTCTTTCTGTAAGTCTGGCATCTGCTGGGTGATTTGGCTGCTATTTGTAGAATCTGGTTCAGTTTTCAATTCTGCCTGTTTTCTTTCCAGTCTGCCAAGCATTTTTGGTTTAATAGAAACTACTGCGTATCTGAGGGTTTTGTGAATAGCTGGCATACCCACTACTCAGGGGTCTCTGGGCTACACCACATAGTTATATTCATATGCCCTAAAATGATTTTGATAATATCCCTGCTTCAATTTACCTTGAACTATTTACATGTAGTATATCAAAGGTATGAGGTTCTCCTACAGCAAAGAGTTGTAGGAAAAGCTCTGGCTGAAAGTGAAAAGCTAGACTTTTTTTTAAATCTCTACCAGTGACCTACTGTGTTACTTTGAGGAAAATAGCCTCTGTGACCCTCCATTTTCTTATCTGCAAAGATCAAAAAGACCTCATCCAGCTGCAGCCTTCTTTGATTCACTGTTAAAGCGAATTTTAATATGTTTGGTTAATGCTTCATTTGTTTTGTCATTTAGATAAATGCTAAACCTAGCTCCCAGGTAATCTGCTGACGGAAGGCTGTGTTTTTATACTTCTAAGAAAAATAGCAAAAAATGAAATTGTGTAAAACTTGCTTTGAGAATTCGTGTAGTACCATTTGCTGATAAGACCAAAGCAAAGTGGCATACTGTATTTCCTTGAGTCTTAGAGACCATTCATTGTGAAACACATTCCAGTTAACAAATGTACAAGGAAAATTAAACAGGAAAATTATGTTTTATGGTACCCTGATAACAAGGTGAGGAAATCACCTTACTGGCTCTATAGATAAACAGTTAAAGTATTTTATTACCTCAAAAACAATGCCGTACATTTAAGATCTTTGTGGGAAAAGACTAAATTGATATGGTGCACTGATGTGTCTTAGACTTGATAAGATATGACAGAAAGCCATATATCACTGGAGCATAGATTGACCTGCAGCTTTGTTGGCACCTGAGCTACCTGACGCAGATAGGGCCTACATCGTTAGCACACGGTCTGTTCCAGAGCCGCTTATAGACAGGCCAGATATCTGGAATAAACTGTAATTGACTAAGTGCCTACCTAGTGAAGCCGTGTTAAATATTGAAGGCTCCGCTCAAAATTATGACTTGCCCTTTCTTCCCAGCTCAGGCACAATCACTCCCTTCTCTGTCCTCCCAGGACCTTGTACGTCTGTCATAACACAGCATGTTTTGGGGGTAATAATTTGCTTTCTGTTTCTTCTATTAGATTATAAGCTACTTAAAGTCCTCTTAATGCTGAACATAAGTGTCATCCAGCCCGGAATAGAGCAGACATTCAGCCACGTTGATGAAAGAGACAAAAGGAGGAAGGTAGAAGGGAAAGCAGGATGGATGACTGCTTTATGGATTTATAGTAGTTTTTAGATTCCTCAGGCCACTACTCATCACCAGGAAATATGATGCAAATGAATTTTAAATAAATATCTAACTTTCAGGTAACAACATTATTTAATAAAACCACATAGGAAAATCAGTCACCTTATATAGAGGCAGAACCGATTTGGGTAAAAAAATGATTGTACTAGACTAAGCACCCACCATGAAACTCTGCGGAGAACTAGTGTCACGGAAGAATCTTTAGACACTGAAACTATCCATGTGATTTTGGGCAGTTACTGTACCTCTCCATGCCTCAGTCTCCTAATCTACAAAATGGGAATAATCGTAGTACCTCCTAGGATCACTGTGAGAATAAAATCACATAAAGTGTATATAGCACTTAGCATCGTGCCTGGCACACAGTGAGAGAAGGAAACAAATGTTAGCTGTTACTATTATCTGTGGATGTGTCATCAATGAACAGAGTTGGAGACCATAGGAAGTGTTTTATTGCCCTCTAATCTGGCAATTATTTCTAGGATTCCGTAGTACCTCCTAGGATCACTGTGAGAATAAAATCACATAAAGTGTATATAGCACTTAGCATCGTGCCTGGCACACAGTGAGAGAAGGAAAAAAATGTTAGCTGTTACTATTATCTGTGGATGTGTCATCAATGAACAGAGTTGGAGACCATAGGAAGTGTTTTATTGCCCTCTAATCTGGCAATTATTTCTAGGATTCTTTTTTTTTTTTTTTTAACCAAGATTATAGTTGAAGAGACCACTTCCTTGTTTCATTTCCTTAACTTTCAGCTCTATAAAAGTGCTCCCTTACTTAAGAGTTATCATTCTTCTCCTGTCTGGGATCTCCGGGATCTCCCCGTTGGCTAAAGCTACAATTCTCCATTTTTCTTTTTCAGTGAATTGCTTGCCCCTTTTTGCCAATGGACAACTTGGCATTTGAAATGCATGAAGGTGCAACCCAGCACGTTTCATTTGTGGGGAAGATGAACACCATCCCCAGAATGGTAAGTTGGACTTTTACATCTTGAGATTAATTTTCCCCAAAAACCTTTATGCAGAGCTCAGGAAAGAACCCCTCTGAGGCTAGCTTTCCTCAAGTGACCCTGTTCTGCCAAGTAGCATCCCTTGCTTTAAACATTTTTTGATTTGCCTTCTTGCTCATAAACTCTTAACTCACACCTCCTTTAGCTCTTTAATGGACCAGTTCTCTATGAATTGTTGCTCATAGTCTTAATGAGTTATTTATTGTTCAACATAATGCCCTTATACAATGTTAAACTGAATATGTTGTTAATGATTATGCTGTGCAACATATACCATTTAACAATGTTAAAATACTAAGAATATCTATGTTATTAATGATCAAAGATATGCCTGCTCAGAGAGAAAGGCCAGGAACTCAGAGGGGAGTGGAACAGGAGACCTTGACATCAGTGCTTATGAATGTCATTTTAATGGTCGGAGGAACGAGGGCAAATTGGTCCAAAGATTAGGGTGCATATTCTCTTTGCAACATTCAGTAATATAGATGGTAACTCACAGAAGAAATAATGTCATTGTTAGCATATGTTTGTGTTGTGAAACCAGGAAATACATAGAAATGCATGGGAATATTGTGGTCAGACTTGGTAGGTGGTTTGTAGCTCATATAGGTAATGCATGGAGCAGGCAGGTAGTTTAATGAAGTTTTGAAATGAAGGAGAGAGTGAGAGAGACTGGATCTGTCAGGCTAGTTGTTTATAGGTGTGCTGCTTATTCCCATGCATGTACCTGTACGTGTATATGTACATTCTGGAGTGAAAAAAATTCTTGGAAAATACTCTTTATAACCTCTTTAATTTTCAGGTGAAGAAACTGGTAAATGGGGCTAATTGACCAAATTGGAATGCATTTTATATACAAACTTAACTGGCTACTTAATTTTCTAGTAACATATTATGTGCCCTGGCTCCTCATCTGTTTATTTTTATCCTTGTTTATTTGAATGTCAGCAAGGGATATGGGAGGGAGTGTGGTGTGTGTATTTATTTACACTCATATTTGCACGTGTATTATTTTACTGAGTATATTTATCCTACAAATATATATTTTTTTAAATAAAAGAGAAAATAAACCAAATTGAGAAAAGAGGCAATATTATTAATGCATCAAGAATAGATAATAATGGCTTCATAATTTCTCCCAGGAAGAGAAGAGGCAGTGGTCATTGCTGAGTGTTTTCCTGGCGTGTCTCTTGGCCTGCACCGTTACCACAGCAGTAGGAGTACTGATTCTCTCCTTGGTTTATATCAACAACACTCAGCTCCATTCAGAGCCTGAGCTGCGAGCAACTACAATTGCGATATTGCAAAAAGCTGTTGATCCAAAATTCCAGTTTCTTAATCATTTACCTAAATCTAAGGTATGAATCAAATAGATTAAGACAAGCATCATCTATTCTAAAACATCGATTTCAAAACAAGGTTTCCATTCTCTTTTCACTAAGCTTTGCTCGCTCTTCATCGGAAGGAACCAGCTGTGGGCTACATGGATGAAGGGAGGTGAGGGACAGAGAAGAGGGAAAGTTGGATCGATATTGGCCCGAGGCAGAAATTTTCTGTAGCAGATAGTTCTGTGTGTGGCTGGTGGGGAGAATTGCAGGTGGATAAAGGGAAAGCCCTCTAGTCTCTTGTCAGGACAGGTGTTCATTTTTACGTGAGACAGGGACTAGACTGGTAGCGCTCAGTGTGTGTACCACTGTTGTCATTTTTTGAGTCTTGCAGACCTATTCTTCCTTTTCTTTTTTGGAACTCTATTAGTCATCTCGCCACCACTGGCTTTTCTATTTTGCCTTCCTCTGGCCTCCATGCTGACGGCTGCTTGCTTATGACTTTTCAGGTGTTTGAGTTTCCTGGTGGTGCGATCCAGTGGGCCCGATACAGGAACAATATCAAAGACTATCTCAGCATTGAAGAAGAGGCCTTTGGCAGGAGCCTGAATAGTCAGAGATCGCAGATGACTCTGGGGACCCTGAGAATAAAAAGCAATGGCCTCCGGGCCCCTCACTGGCACTTCGATGCTAATGAACACGGCTATCTGGTACAGGTATAACCAGTTTGCCCATTCTGCACTTAAGCATTTATGCCGGTGTGTCCTTAGGCTATTATTTTAGTTGTCGTGAAACCTACTTAAGTGATAGACAACATCTAGTCTTTGGCTATGTAGTTAGATTAGTTAGCTGTACTTTGAAGCATTAACCTGTTTGTTTTAATTATTCTTGCCATCACTTTGAACTTCTTTCTTCAGTATGAAATTATTTTTCATACTCTTGTTAAATAAGACCGCTCTTTCATCCCTTGAGCCAAAGCTGAAACTGGTGGCTCTGATCTAATGATCAAAGAGATGACAGCTTTCCTCTAAGGGAAAAAGCAGAGACCAGAATAACAAACTAGTTTGCAGATGTTCAGCTGGGAGTCCCTAAGATCAGTCCAATTGGATGCCCTTTTGTGGTTCGGACCTTTCAGAATTTTCTGGAAGTCAAGTGAAAGAGAGAGCTGGAGGTGAAATGAGTATACTTACTTGAATTCCAAATAATTCATGAATTCTACAAAGTATTTATTGGTCACCTTCTGTATTTCAGATACTGAGGGAAGCAACAGTGACTAAACCTCACAGAACTTTCAGAGTTTGGTCTTACTGTGGTGATTTTGTTAATAGGTCAGCCAATTTTATGTGACATATTTCTGTTGTTGTTAATTAAACTCCTTTTTCATTCTTGATGATTTACTCAATTTTAGGATTAACAACAGGAAGAGAGGTGAGAATTTCATCTATATGAGACAAAATCCTTCTTATTTCTCGAGAGAATAGAAGCTCAGAAAGATTAAGTGACTTTTCTAAAGACGAACTGTAGTTCTTGGCTAGACCGGGACAAAGTCCATGTTTTTTTGACTTTTTTCTTTTTCCATGTGTATAAAATATGTAAAAGAATAATCTTCAAAAGGCTAGTTCTCATAGCTCTGGCTAAGTAGTGGCAGAGCAGTAGGCAGAAGGAAAGGCAATTAAGTGAACTTTCCTGGAGGGGACCCCCTAAAAAACGATCTTCGAGCCAGGGAACTTAGTCTGGAGCATGTTCCAGTGGGTAGCAGGCCTAGGATCTAGCTCAGCTCAGGAGTCCAGAGAGAGTTTATAATCTGAGCTTCTAAATGGGGACTAGAAGGTAGTCAGAAGGTCCAGATGACCACTTCCAAAATAAACATTGGTCAGGGGGATGACCTATTTATTTTACAACGTGGTGACTATAGTTAACAGTACTGTATTGTTTATTTGAAAGTTACTGAGAGAGTAGATCTTAAAAGTTCTCATCACAGGAAAAAAAATTATAACTGTGTGGTGCTGGATGCTAACTGGACTTATTGTGGTGATCATTTCACAATATATGCGAATACTGAATCTTTATATTGTACACCTGAAACTAATATAATGTTGTATGTCTATTATATTTTAATTAAAAACATACAAAATAATCCAACTACAAGAAATAATGTGGGCTAGAATATTCTCTAGATCTGAGAATTCTGGGATCACTTGTTCTCATTATCAGGGTAAGGAACTAGCCAATAAGGTGTGAAGGAAATCCCCTTACTGCGGACTCACCAGCGGAGATTGCTTTTGCTTGTGTGTCTTCATGAAGCTTTGGAAGGAGGGTCCCTGAGAGGAGCAGGGCAGCCAGGGTGACCAGCATGTATGGCTCTGCAGTGAATGTACCTATCGGCTACTGCGCTATCTCTGCTCTAGAGCAGTCGATGCCCTGATATGGGTAGATGCATATTTCTGCTGTTCCCCACATGTAGACTTGGAGAGAGCTGCTGAGAGGTCCACTTTCCCCCTTCATCTTTAATACCCACCTGGATATGAATTGTGCATATTGTCTGCGTAGGCAGAACAAAGACTTGTTTTTTCATCCACCCTTGTCGATGTTCCACCATGTGACCATGAGTCTCTTGTAAAACAGAAATAATGGTACTTTCTCTACCTACCTCACAGGGTAATACTAAGGAATAGATTAGAGACCAAGAGAAAGGATACCATTCTGTATCAGCAGAATCAAAGTATGGTGCAGTATGGTCTAAAAGTGTAAACACCCCCCGGTCCCTGGCAGCCACCATTCTACTCCCTGTTTCTAGAGAATTTGATTGAATAATTTAAACTAGGTAATTCGACTAGATAATTAAGTTTTAGAGATCTGCTATACAACATTGTATCTATGATTAATAATACTGGATTGTACACTTAAACATTTGTTAAGAAGGTAGATCTCCTTTTAAGTGTTCTTAACTACAATTTTTTTAAAAAGTGTAGACTTTGGAGCTAGACTTTTTAGGTTCAAACCCCATTGACTAGCTGAGTAACCCTGGGAAAATTATATATCCTCTCTGAACTTAGTTTTCTCATCTGTA